GAGCAGATTGCCCACGGCTCTCTCTCAGGGCCAGACTGGCCCACGGTATAATTTACTGGTGAGCCGCTGTGGCTGGGGCCTAGACCAATATAAAGTTTTCAATTTTTTCACCAGCCTCTCGATCAGGGAAACTACCAGTTAGGCTAATGGTACTGGGAATTGATTTGCTCCTCTTTCACATAAGTTTATCTTTCTCTGAAGAAAGTTTCTAACTGTGAAACATGTTAAATGAAAACAGTTTTGGGTGCCACTTCCAGTGATGTTGATGGGTCCAGATCCTGCAATCTCAGGTCTGGATACTTCAGGAGTTGCTTCATCTAAGTGCTGCTTCTAAGTGTGTGGTTGGAGATATTCTGGATAGAAACTGGAGGTAATCTGAGGTATTCAGGAGGATAAATAAAAAGTTAAGATTCGTTTGATTTAAATTATTCACCTCATTGGAATGGCAGACTTAGTTCAGTGTAATAGTTGCTATGCATTTGTTTCACATTCCACTTTTTGGAGGTTTGGTTGTTGTCTAATCTGTAGACAGTTCTCTATCTTGCGGCAGGAGATTGTATTTTTGAAGTCTGAGATTTGTAAATTATCTGGTAAACAAACTCAGGCTGGAACTGCTGCAAAGCCACTGCCGCAGAGACATACTAGGAATGGCAGATGGATTACTGTAGGATCTGGTAGACTTAGAGTTGTGGATAAAAGGCATATTGCACAGTCTGTTGCTCCACATAATTCATTTTCTGCACTTTCAGAGTGTAATGGTGTTATGGAGACAGGCTTGGAGGGTAGTGGTGTTGTGGAGAGAGGTACTGAAGGTAGTGGTGTTGTGGAGAGAGGCACTGAGACTAGTGGTGTTGTGGAGACAGGCTCAGGCACTGAGGCTAGTGGTGTTATGGAGACAGGCTCAGGCACTGAGGGTAGTGGTGTTGTGGAGACAGGCTTGGAGACTATGGTGAGGCCTAATAGAAAGCAGTTGTTGTTGGGGGATTCCATCATAAGAGGTGTGTAGGTGGACAATGGTTGTCTTGTGAGGTGTCTCCCCGGAGCTACTGCTCACAGAGACAGGAGACATATCTGTAATATTGTTAAGCGAGCAAAGGAGGAAGGGGAATTGGATGTACTTGTCCATCTAGGGCTTGCAATGAGGTTTCAGAGGTTAAGGAAGTTTTTAGTGTTTTTGCCAATGATATACGGCAGGTTGCTTCCACACTGTCATTCTCTGAAGTTCTGCCTGTGCATAACACTCAGAAAGACAGGCGGATGCGTATTAGGGACTTTAACTTGTGGCTTGGTGAATGGTGTCGGGAGCAAGGATTTGGCTTTATTTCTCATGGTAGCCCTGTTTGGAATGGAAATAAACTGTACAAAAAAGATGGTTTGCATCTTTCTCAAAAGGAAACAAATGTTCTCAGTGAGCAGTTCAGAGGTTTTGCTAGGATGTATTTAAACTAGGAGGGAGGGGGGCAAAAGGGTGATAAAACATCAATCCAATTGTCCCCCAAAACAAGGACAGAAGGTGCCTGTAGCAAGTGTGTTAAAAAATGATAAGCCTAGAGTCATGTCTACAAATGCTCGCAGTTTATGGAATAAAGTTACACCACACAAAAACAAAGGTTTTAGACTTTAGAAAAACAGACTTTTCTAAAATTAGAATTTGTGTAAAGGAGTCATTATCAGACTGGAGCAATTTAAATGGAGTGCAAAAGAAATGGGATTATTTAAAAGTTGCACTACTGAAGGCAACAGAAAATTGCATTAGGCTTATCAGTAAAAGCAAAAAAATTCAAGAAACCACTGTGGTACTCCGCAGATGTGGCCAAAATAGTAAAAAACAAAAAGCTAGCATTTAGTAATTATAAAAAAACCAGAGTGAGGAAGACAGAATGATCTATAAGATTAGGCAGAAAGAGGCTAAGCAAGTTATAAGAGCTTCCAAATCACACCCAGAAGAGAAAATAGCACAGTCAGTAAAAAAGGAGGACAAAGCTTTTTTTAGATACATAAATGAGAAAAGAAAAGTAAAACAAGGATTAGTTAGATTAAAAATTAAAGAAGGAAGGTATGTAGAAGAGGATAAAGGTCTAGCTGACTGCCTCAATGAATATTTTTGTTTGGTATTTACAGATGAAAATAAAGGAAAGGGACCTCCGTTAAGAAAAAGGATAAATGAGTCATTTATTACACGTGAGTTTACAGAAGAAGAGGCTCTATTTCAGCTGTCAAAAGTAAAAACAAATAAGTCAATGGGACCTGATGGAATACACCCAAAGCTATTAAAAGCGCTTAGTGGTGTACTAGCAAAACCATTAACAGATTTATTTAACCAATCATTGTTAACAGGAGTAGTCCCAGAAGATTGGAAGTTAGCGAATGTTGTGCCCATTTACAAGAAAGGTAATAGGGAGGAGTCAGGCAACTATAGGCCAGTAAGCCTTACTTCAGTAGTGGGGAAAGTGATGGAAACCATGTTAAAGGATAGGATTGTTGAACATCTAAAAACACATGGATTTCAAGATCAGAGACAACATGGGTTTACTTCAGGGAGATCATGCCAAACTAATCTTATTGATTTTTTTGATTGGGTAACTAAAATTATAGATCAGGGTGGTGCAGTAGACATTGCTTACCTAGATTTCAGTAAGGCTTTTGACACTGTTGCACATAGAAGGCATATCAATAAGCTGCAATCTTTAAGTTTGGATTCCAATATTGCTGAATGGGTAAGGCAGTGGCTGAGTGACAGGCAACAGAGAGTTGTAGTCAATGGAGTATATTCGAAGCTTGGGCTTGTCACCAGTGGGGTACCTCAGGGATCTGTACTTGGACCCATTCTCTTTAATATTTTTATTAGTGATATTGCAGAAGGTCTTGATGGTAAGGTATGTCTTTTTGCTGATGATACTAAGATATGTAACAGGGTTGATGTTCCAGGAGGGATAGGCCAAATGATTTAGGTAGTCAGAGTTGTGGCAACTGACATTTAATGTGGATAAGTGCAAGATAATGCATCTTGGAAGTAAAAACCCAAGGGCAGAGTACAGAATATTTGATAGAGTCCTACCCTCAACATCTGAGGAAAGGGATTTAGGGGTGATTATTTCTGATGACTTAAAGGTAGGCAGACAATGTAATAAAGCAGCAGGGAATGCTAGCAGAATGCTTGGTTGTATAGGGAGAGGTATTAGCAGTAGAAAGAGCTCATGCCATTGTACAGAACACTGGTGAGGCCTCACTTGGAGTATTGTACGCAGTACTGGAGACCGTATCTTCAGAAGGATATTGATACTTTATAGAGAGTTCAGAGACAGGCTACTAAACTGGTTCATGGATTGCGGGATAAAACTTACCAGGAAAGGTTAAAGGATCTTAACATGTATAGCTTGGAAAGACGAGACAGGGGGGATATGAGAGAAACATTTAAATACATAAAGGGAATCAACACAGTAAAGGAGGAGACTATATTTAAAAGAAGAAAAACTACCACAAGAAGAGGAAATAGTCTTAAATTAGAGGGACAAAGGTTTAAAAACAATTTCAGGAAGTATTACTTTACTGAGAGGATAGTGGACGCATGGAATAGCCTTCCAGCTGAAGTGGTAGAGGTTAACACAGTGAGGGAGTTTAAGTATGCGTGGGATAGGCATAGGCCTATCCTAAACTTAAGATATGGTCAGGGACTAATCAAAGTATTTATAAAATTGGGCAGACTAGATGGGCCGAATGGTTCTTATCTGCCGTCACATTCTATGTTTCTAAGTTTGAAATAAAAAGTGATGCTATTTTTGTTATTGTTTCTGTTCATTGTTACTTAATGAATATGCGATAATTATTATTTCTATTATTATTAGCAATAATAAAATAAATATTACGTGGACAGTTCCAACCTGTAACACTATCACTTCACTGAAGTTACTATGGGGGCAGGAGTGTCCAGGAGATGTCTAACCTTGCACCCAACACAGCTCCCCCTGGATTCTTTAATCTCTGCCATGACAGTATGAGGGATGTTTAGCTGGACAGCCAGTGATAGGCTAAGTGTGTCAGCCTGTCACAGGCTTCCTATCAAGAGAAAGAGTACGTACTATCTCTTTAAATGGGTGGTTAGGCTAAACCATGGGGTGTAAAATTTGTGCAATGCCCTGCATTGACTTGTGATTATTTTCCGTAGTATGCCCTATGCCAAAATGACAGTGTGGATAAAGCACAAGGGACGGATTTACTCTCCTTGCTGCCCCAAGGCTAGTATTCTCAATGCATACTCCGCCATATGTTTATATATACACGCAAAGTTTGGAGTATTCGATTGGATATATTTATACGACTAATTTTGGGTATGATTGAATGGTAATAAGCCATACACAGCATCTTTGATCTCACTAACGGCCATGCCACTTCTCTCCTGCCTGTAGCCCTGAGGCTATGGCCTTGTGGCAAATCAAGCAGGTATATATATGTATATATTTATGAACTCCTTAAACAAATCACTAGTGATTTTCTGCAAAGTAGGAAGGCTCTTTTGGAGTTGAGGGACATTCTTTTCGTTGCTATATCTTTATTTATACATGCACTCACAGTTTATTTCTGATAGTTACGTCATTGAGTGTCCTCTTATGTCAACATGTTCACTATTTCATCTATGTAATAAATAACAATAGCTTTGGTATCTGACAATATAAAAATGAAGAGTAACATTTTTAAAGGATTACTAAAGGCAACCAGAGTACTTTGTCTGAATGAAGTAGTCTGGGTGCAGTGGTCCTGTCATTTCACTATAATGTCATATACACTATTCAATGTAAAACATTGCCGTTTGGTTTGTTATGTAGAAATAGCAATGTTTACATTGAAGGGTTAAATACACCTCTAGTGACTGTTTAATTTCGCGTGATTTTATGTATTTTTATTAATGCATTTATTTACAAATGGAAAACATTGAAACCAACCACCTAAAATCCAATTCTTTAATTTGTAAATAAAAGTTAATAGACACATATTGATGTGATCAGTTTCTTACATTATTAACATTTTGCAGAGGTGTTTTTACACAGTGACCTCTGGAAGTTAAACTTAAAGAGGAAAGATTATCTCAGGGGATAACACAATCTGGCTGCTGCATTTGGGTAGGGTATAGATCACAGCTAAAAGACCAGGGTAATCCCAGTTGATGTATCTGGTCCTGACAGTGGTGCTCCGCATTTAGGCAAACTGATCGGCATGGCTGCAAAGAACCCCCACTGGGAGAGCAACTAGGAACCAGTAGCGCACACAGCAATGGACGCAGAGCTGGAAAACACGGAAGCTCCTGGAGTGTCTGTCAGTATAAAAAGAATTACATCATCTATTCAAATTCTTTTACCGAGTTACATGAGATTAATGATTAGAACAAGTCTTAGTAGTATAAAAATACCTTAACTAACATAGCTATCTCATAAATATTTTCTTTACATTAACAAGTATATTCATGCAAGCAGTGCACAAATGCAGTGGGGATACTTGGGAAACTTACTATATACTGATCAGCCACAATATTAAAACCACTGACAGGTGAATTGAATAACTGATTATATCACTACAATGGCATCTATTAAGAGGTGGAATATACTAGGCAGCAAGTGAACAGTCAGTTCTTGAATTTCATGTGTTGGGAGTAGTAAAAATGGGCACGCGAAAAGATCTGAGTGATTTGATAAGGGCCAAATAGTGATGGCTAGAAGACTGGGTCAGAGCATCTCCAAAACAGCAAGTCTTCTGGGGTGCTCAAAGTATTGGGTGATTAGTACCTGAAAAAAGTGGTGCAAGGAAGGACAACTGGTGAATCAACATCAGGGACATAGGCGCCCAAGGCTAATTGATGCACATGGGGAGTGAAGGCTCAAATTGCTGAAAAAACGTAATGCTGGCCATAATAGAAAGATGTCAAAACACACAGTGCATCACAATTTGCTGTGTATGGGGGCTGCATAGGTGCAGAGAGGTCAGAGTGCCCATGATTAAACCAGTCTACCACTGGAAGCACCTTTAATGGAGTTGTGAGCATCAGAACTAGGTTAAGAAGGTTAACTGGACTGATGAATCATGTTTTCTTTTAGGTTAGGTGGATGGCCAGGTGTGTGTGTGTTGCCACCCTGCCACACTGCACAAATTATTCAGGAATGGTTTGAGTAATATGACAAAGAGTACAAAATTTTGCCTTTGCCTCAAAACTCCGCAGATCTCAATTCAATTGAGCATCTGTGGGATGTGCTGGAACAACAAATTTGATACACGGAGGCCCCACCTCGCAAATTGCAGGACCTAAAGAGATCTGTTGCTTATGTTTTGGTGTCAGTTACCACAGGACACATTCAGAGGTGTTGTGTGGAGTCCATGCCTCAATGCATCAATTCTGTTTTGGCAGCACGAGGACCTACATGATAGGCAGGTGGTATTAATGTTGTAGCTGATCAGTGTATATGCAAATAATATGTTATTTTTGGATTTTAAAGGAACACTGTAGTGTTAGGAAAAATATGTATGTCTAACGGTATAGTGTCCTGACACATATTTAGGTCCATCCTCTCACCCCATTAAAAGGTGAGTATTACTTACTTTTCATCCCTTGCCATAGCAGTCTCCATGATTGCGTTCCACCTCTTGAGATCATTATGGCTGAGATCACCATCGCAGGGAAACAGTAGAAGACTATCCTCTATAAAACTATCTGTTTGACTCTTTGGCAGAAATGCCTCTAGTGGCATGTTAGCCCCTAGAGGCATGTTAACCTCGCAATGTAAACCTTGCCAATACTAGAGTCAAACAGACAGGGACATGGCAATCAAAACACTTCATTGAGATGAAGTGGTGTGGGTGCCTATAATATCCATTTAAACCAGCTTGCATTAAAGGGACACTAAGCACCATAACCCTACTGCCATTCCATGGTTTGGTGTTAAACCATTCAAAAACTAAAAGTTTAACGGGACACTATAGTCACTAGAACAACTACACCTTATTGTAGTTGTTCTGGTGAGTAAAGTCAGTCCCTATAGGCATGCAATGTAAACACTGCCTTTTCAGAAAAAAGGCAGAGTTTACTGTAGTGCCTAGGAATACCTCTAGTGGCCACTCCTCTGACAGCCACTACACGGTCCTTCCTTGGCACTGCCGTTCAGCGTCCATGCTCTGAATGCATGTATGGAGACACTGAACTATCCCCATAGAGATGCTGATTGGTTAGGATGGCATTTGGACCCAGTCCCCGCCCCGCCTCCTTGAATAAAATCATCAGAATTGATCATCTCAGCCAATCCAATGCTTTCCTATGATGTCAGCCATGGAGGTGGATCAGGTGCAGGGTCAGCTCAAGTGGACCTGCATACCGCTGGAAAAAAGTTTTTTTTTTAACTTATTTAAGGGGAGGCCAGGGGCCCTACATGTGCTTTTAACACTATACGGTCGGGAATAAATGTTTGTGTTCCTGACCCTATAGTGTTCTTTTAATAAACCTTCTTGGATGAATATATCATGCCTCCGCAGTCTTACTGCTCATTTCTCTGCCATTTAGGAGTTACATTACTTTTGTGTCTGTCCATGCGACCCTAGTCACATTTCCCCTGGCCGTGACTGACACAGACTGCATGAAAAAAAATACTTTCCGTTTCAATCATGTTACTTACTTTAAAAGTTTTTATCTCCTGCTCTGTAAATTGAACTTTAATCACACACATTAGGCTTGTGCAAGGTCTAGCAAGCTATTAAAAGGGCAGGAGACAGGAAATAATAAAATAAACAGAATTTGCAATAAAGGAAGTATAAACATTAGATGACTCTCTGCAGGAAGTGTATAGGAAGGCTGTGTAAGTCACGTGGCTGGAACGTATGATTAGGGATGTATAAACAAAGTGATTTAACTCCTAAATGGCAGAAAATTGAGCAGTTAGACTGCAGGGGCATTATCTATGCACCAAAACTGCTTCATTAAGCTAAAGCTGTTTTGGTGACTATAGTATCCCTTTAACAACCACAGCTGGGTCCTCAAATGAAGATATGGCCAAGGTGGAATTACACTAAAGCAGGGTTACACTCTGCCTCTGCCAAACCAAGGATGGCCAACTGTGATAGGCTATGAGCACTCAGCTGATACTGTCAGGCAATCACTGCTGACCATCATTGCTCAGACTAATATGGATTAGCCTGAGCAGCAGAGCAGGGAAGGGCTACAAGCACCCTCATTTAGTGATAAACCAGTCAAAAATGTTAACCTCCAGGCACCATAAACCCTTCAATGAGATGAATTGATAATGATGCCTATAGTGTCCCTTTAACAATCTTCAGTGCTTACTATCTCTCATGTACTCACACTGTTCAGTACTAAATACATAATTAGCGCTTGTACCTTACAATGCTGATGGTCACATTTATTGTATCAACCACTAAAAGAATACATTATTCAATGTAGTGGGTACACTTCATACCTTGTATCCTTTGAGCAGTTCACTTGCTGCCGGTTGCTCGTGAAGTGACATCCAAAGATTGGGAAACACAGTGAGGGTGTAAGACAAACCCTTACAAAGAGGAACCCGAAGGGGCTGGCATGGTGTCACTGGAATAGTGAATAACAAAATCAAACTCATTCCTAATCAGTGTTGAAACATTTGAAGGTCAAATACAAAACTAGAAGTATATTAGATTTATGTCAGAGAAATATTGTTACATCACATCTCTGTGTGTCAGCAACCAAACCTGGCTCTGTGTCCTCTCTATCCGGACAATCCAGCTCATCTTTCCCATCTGGACAGTCAATCCACCCATCGCAGACCAATTGCAAAGACAAACACTGACCGCCATCACATCTCAACTCTGTGTTGTCACATTGAACTAGGAAAAAGTAAAGTGATATAAAACATCTCTAATGGCAAAGTAGTAAAAATCAAAAAGTTGCAACAACTTGTAGATGCAATAAACAAATAAATAAATTGTCATAGGAGGTATACCAAAATTAGCCTGGCTAGATTTTGTGTCAGAGACTAATTACATTAAATTGTTCTGTGGTTTTATATGATTATTTTGGACAAATAATAATTGTTATTACCCTAAATGTATTGGAAGTGGTCAGTTGTTCATGTAATCATGGTCACTCAATTTACGCACCGTACGGTATAGTATTACTTGTACCCTCTGCTTCACAATCTGGGGGTTTCTTTATTGTTCCTGTTTTCCAATTCTATCTCACTACCCTTATCAGTCATATTTGCTTCTGGTGGACCCTCCACGGGCTTATCTAAAGGGTGGTCAGTACACACTTTAGATTGTTTTCCAAACTTTTAGTGGGTTTTTCTTTTTTGGAGCTTGTTTCCAATATTCATTAATTTTTATTGACAAGCTAATCATTAACAATAATCTCTCCATACATTGTTTAGGAAAATATTATGTGTTTGTCATTGCTTTTAAACCATAGAGCCCTTCTTAAATCAATAGACTATTAATAAAAAAAAAAAGCAAAAGTCGGTAAAAAACAAAAAAAACAATAAATCTAAAATTTAAGTAAAACGGATGTGTTATATGTGTGTTCAAAAAAATCTTCTTCCCTGTCCAACTACAACCACTGCAACTATCTTCTGAATCTATCTTGCTAAGGCATAGATGTCAATTTGAACAGAAATGTACACCATTATAACATTAGTTAAAAAAATAAACTGGAGGGCAAATACTCTATCTAGTATTTCTGATCTACAGCAGATATACTGGTAAGCACAAACTAATTATCCTGTTTTCAACCAATCCAATTCACTGTCATACCCCTTCCAATATCTTTAAAAAAAAATATGGAGGTTGCGTGCCAGCAGCCTTAACTCAAAACTTTGCACATTAACACATACAATTCTGATCTGGTAATTCTGACTTGTCCTGTTCCTGCCCTCCTACAGTACCTTGCAAATAGTTTACTTAACACACACCTTACAGTAATTTAGCAGAAGCATGGTGATGTGAGTCTGTAGCCCATAACTCCTGCATGCTTATTGCCCAAGGGGCAGTTCACCCAACCTCCACTCTTCTCTGCATATTTTAGCTTGTATCCCACAGTACAATACCAATTACTGTTCCTTAGAACTTTACAACCTACTTGCTGTAGCATTAAAGGCTTCATATGTGGCAAAAAATCCTAGGCCTGATTCTTCTTCATCTGAAACAAACACTATGTACATATGTGGACCAGAAGAAGTGAGGTTGGGAGGGAGGTGAGAACCACAGAACCTAGGGAAAAAAAGAAGATTATAAAATGAGATGAAGCATCCTACAGAAAGTGTGTATAGAGTCTCAGAACCTCAACAATATCACGCTCAATGCCAGTTATGAGACAAAAAACTTCACTAATTGCAATAATGTTAGCAGGTAACTAGTAGTTTGTTTGGAATCCCATTTGTTGGGAAATAAGTGAAGATTATGATCTCCAGTATCACCTCCAGATACTAAGCACTTGTGTATATGAGAATGGGTTTGCTAACCTGCCCATCATACTTGCAGTTCCAAGACTAGTACTGTCATGAATCTCCACATAGTCAAATGTACAGCCCCTTTCCATCTCCAGGCTGAAATCATGGAACTGGAGTTGAATGACAAACTCATCTGGCACACTGAGATGCCACCGACATAAGATCTTTCCAGGGTATTTCTCAGGGTAATTGGGTGAAGAAATTGATCCTTGTAGGCTGTTTAGGGAACCACCACAATCTGTGAACACAAGAAATATGTTTTTCTCTACAAATCAGACCACACTCACAGACATACTTGCTTGGATCTAGTTTTTTTCTCTTGTATACAGTCAAGTCTTGTAATCAGCGATCCATAACAAAATTACATCTGGGCAATCGCACCTCCCTACGTATGCTTGGCTGAGACCTGCTGGTAGTCAGATCTGCCATAAATAGGTAGGTAATCGCCAAGCATCATATGCATTATTTTGCAGTACATAATCCTTATTCTTATCTTTGATTTAACTCCTAAGCCTACATGTCCCTCCCCATGGTACCCCACTGTATTTGGCTGCAGTTGGTTTCATCCATCCGGTCTGCACAGTCTGGTATTCCATCACACAGCGCAGGAAGCAGAACACAGCGGCGTCCATCACACAGAAACTCATCCCACGAACAGCTCCCTGTACAAGATCACTTATTATTTATGCTGCATTAAAGTGTATTCAACAAATTATTTTTATCACAAGCTGAAAGGAATGTACCTTGGCTCGGTTCAATCATCCGATATGTAGCCAGGAAGCCCTGGGCATTTATACTGTTATCAGATACAAAATTGAGTTGTAGCCAGTGGGAAATAGAAATAAATGTTGTAGGTGCAACAGAGCCACATAACCTGCCATGGATTTTGGAGACAATACATTAGTAAAAAGGTTAACAATAAACACAAAAAATAAGCAATAAAAAATGAACTGATTGACACCCTGCTAGTTCCTTCAAAATCGATAGTAGCCTGCAGTTGTTTTAGTGAACTATGACACACATCTTGTATCTTTAGCCATGTTAGTATCTTTTTTAACGTGTTACCTGCTTGTAGTATTCCCATCTGTTAGTTCCAACCAATCAATGAGGCAGCTGCCATATCCCTCTATATCTAAAACCACTATCTTCATTTGAATCACGTGACCTTCCTGGGCCTCCAGCACCCAAGTGCAGTGAGAGTTGGGTGGATACAGATGGGGATAATTTGGAGAACTAAATGATCCTTGAGAGTCATTCAGGTAGCCACCACAATCTTTGAAAATCAAAGGGTAAAAACTAAATTTACTAGAAATTCTTGACTTTGCATCAAATATTTTTTATTAAGGTTTTAAAATAATATAATATATCTTACAACATTGGCATATATATAATGATTTATAAACCATTGTCAATACTAAGCAAGCAATCAAATAAAATACACATAAATATTATAAATATTTGTAAATGAAATAAATAAACTATGTACAGAAATAAAATAAAGTGTCAAGTAATTAATAACAACATGGTACTAAAAATAAATAAATCAGGAAGCATAATATTTATTCAGTCTGGTGGGAAAATGGTTAAAGTCTGAAATTATGTTTCACATCATCTTCCCACATTGACCACTCATGCTGCAATATAGATGTGAAAGTAGATGGATTATGAAAAGCCAATTCACACCTTTTATTTTCAAAAACGAGAGATAACCCACTTCACCCTCAGTTGGTACAGTGGGTGACTTCCAATGACGAGAGATGATGGAATTAGCTGATATGAGAAGATGGCCTAGTATAATTTGTTTGTATCTAGGCAGTTTAAATGGAATTTTCTTAATGAAACAAAGACACAGGGATTACATTACATCGAATTCTGATATATTGATTAATTAGAGAATTTTCAGCCAACAAGTTTTAATTTTGGGACACGAATAGAAGACGTGGAGTAATGTACAAATTTGACCGCAGATTCTCCAGTATTTATTATTTTCGCTAAGATGCATGTTAAAACGTTTGGAAGGGGTTAGTTACCATCTATAAATTAATGGGATTCCAAATGGTTTGCTGATTGAGTAATACCTGTTAACGATAATAAAAATTCATTCCACTCCTCTACTGTGTATAATTTGTTGACTTTGCACCTGGTAAACAAGTTAAGGATGAGTGTCTTGATATAATCATTGTAAACTGTCATATAATTCTGCATTTCCATTTAGGAGCCACGGGTATACATATTTTATTACTGCTAGTGGTAATTGGATCCATATCCAAAGCAGCGTTTTGATTGTACAGTGTTCTTCAACCGCACGCAAAGTATGTAATAGGAAAACCATTATTTTAGGATATCACTTACTGGAAAGTACTATTTCTGTAAATCTTGAAATGCTGGTATCTCGTACAGAAGTATTGCTATAATTTGCTACGGAAACGGAAATAGCACTCACGTCTATTTTTCTTTCTGTTCAAAGAAAAAACATTGAGTAGCCATAGACAATATACCCAATGAAACCATGTACATCAGCATTATTTGTGGGTTATTTTTTTTTTCATATCAACTGAACAATCTTGTAAAAAGCTCTGCAGTCATATAGGTGTTTTCAATATGTTAATAAGGTATATTAGACTTGTCTACAGTAAGTTCACTTGCAGTTATTCTGGACTTCACCAATAAATCAGTAAAACCATAATCATTAGCTAACCTAAAGCTTTCTGGAGTTGTTTTGCCTGATGTTAGCATTAAGGTCTTGTGACCTTAGCTTAACTTTGTAGTCCAATGTTAATAAACTGTAAAATATAATACTCTCTCTTAGACACTCACTGGAGAGAAGGATTCCAAGCGTCAGGCTTAAAATCAAGACCAGCAGCAGGACAGAGATGATGATAATGACGATAGTGATACGGCTAGGTCGATTTCTCCATAGAAGAAAACTTTCACTCTGTAGGGAGACTAATTGACATGTAATAGTACTTAGATTAGAGTTGGAGTTTATTTCAAAAAGCTACTATAATATGGCTAAGGTATTATGTTTCTCCTACCTGGCAAATTCTGCACAAATAAGTTAATATTCCCTTGGCTCTTCATTTCCCCTCCCCTCCATGTGTTTCGAACCAGTGCTACTCTCCATCTTGCCTGCTACCCGCTACAGGGTAGCATTCTAACACCTTTAGCGGTACCTGACTATGTTTCCTCTGGAACTCTAGCTCAGCCACAATCACTGGCCTTGCCCGGTCACATTGCCTAGCTGTTTTGACCCCTTTTCTAATGGGCTAGGAGAGCACTAATTGGGAGGGAGATACAGTTTATCACTGGGAACAATTGCTACCTGAGAGCCAGAGGGAGCCCCTCTGTTTTAGTCCACCAGTGCTCCCGTTAAATGACCAGCAGAATGCGCCCACCGTCAGGAACTAATATCGACCAGGACTTTCATAGTGACCAGTCAAAACTTTATACCTGTGGTGTTTCGGCAATTCCCCATAGATCCAGGCACTATTTTCCCAGAATGGTCTCTCTGTGTCCGGGAGAAAATTAGTTAAAGCAGCAGATGTCACAATCCTCTTCTAGGCACAGAGGTGCCAGGGCAGGATCAGCTATACAGTGAATGGAGACCCCATGCTGCAGGGTTTGTATATAAATGACTACATTGTACTCATTAAAAGTTGTTATTCTCCCCAGCATTATGTGTTGGCTGATGTCTGGGGAAAGGGGCTTGAACACTGAAAGGCTCTCTTCCAGCTAAAAGGGAATTGCAGCGGAGAAATCCAGTCAGGATATAAGAGCTCCGCTACATACAGGTTTTAAGGTTGAGATCTCTTTTTGAATAAATTCTCAGTGTTCTCATATTCACTGTTTTTGTTGCAATATCTGGAGAGAGTATCACAGTTGGAAAACGCTAATCTTACAACCAGTGTGCACACAGGACTGTGGGAGGAAGTACATTGTGCTTATAGTGCCTTTGGTAATAAGTCACACACCAAAAAAATCAAGCACTGGCTTCATGACTACAGGAGAAATGTGAAGCAGCAGATTAGCCATTAGGCAAGGGGTAAAGGTGGAGATCTTCTAAGAGGAGGTCTCTAATAATGTGGTGCAAGTGCACAGAGGGATCACTGATGCTCCAGAGAGGTCTGCTGAGGTCCAGGAAAGAAATATGAGACTGAACATGTGGCAAAATGTTTTCATTGTTGTAAGTTTTACAGACAAGTTGCTACAATCGGTTTAGTTAACATTTGGCGAAATGGTTGTCTATATAAGTAAAGTGCATGTGTCATTCAAAAAAATTCACAGAAAAAAAAAGTTAACCTTAAAATTTAAGGTAACAACCTTGACCCACAAGACTACCACACAGAAATGTACCTCATATTATAAATCACATTTTAATACACATAGTATACATGTTTTAGGAAGGGACATCAACCTTCCTGTGCAAATAAAGTATTTTGAAAAGCAATATATATTAAACTAAATTGTGCTTCCAAACCTAAGGAATCACACCATAAAAGTTGGTATTTTGTAGTCACAAATATTTACTGGGTGTTGGTAACAAAAAACAGTTTACAGCTGATATTTACCACAACATAGGAAATGAGTTTTAAAGTGACACTCTAGGCGCTGAAACAACTTCATCTAAATTAAGTTGTGGTGCAAGGAGGCCTTCAGAGGCACTCAAACAGTTTAATCCCAAAGTTGCCTCCAGCTGCAATGTCCACTCCCCACCTGGTGGCATCTGACTTCTGAAATTTCAGATTCAGGAAGTGCGGAGTGCTGCTAGGCAGGGGCGCCACTGATTAGCTGAGAGTAGTCAGCTGACGCTCTCAGCCAATCAGTGACACCCCATTCACCAAACTGGCTTGGAAAGACACGTACCTTTTTCAAGCTAGTTTTGTGAATGGGGTGTCACTGATTGCCTGAGAGCGTCAGCTCACTGCTCTCAGCCAATCAGTGGCGCCCCTCCCCGGCAACACTCCACGCTTCCTGAAATGGAACATTCACAAGCTGAGTGCTCTTAGGAAGGAAACTGGGGCCACCCGATGGCAATACATTTCCTGGGTCCCGGTCAGCGCTGATGACATCAGAGATGACATCAGAGCACTGGGAGGAAGTTGTCACTTCCTCCAAGTTTACACAAGACCGTGTTGGAGGATAGCGCTGGTGAAGGAGAGGAGGGAATCAGAGTGAGAGCTGTGTCTGTGTGTGTGTATCTGTTTGTCTGCATGTGGGTCTGTATGTGTATCTGCTTGGATGTGTGTCAATGTATGCCCCTATGTATCTGTATGTGTGTCAATGTTTTTATCTGTATGCGTGTCATTCTGTGTATCTGAATGTTTGTCATTAAGTGTGTCTGTGTATCTGCATGCGTGTCTACATGTGTATCTGTCTGTATGTGTCTCTGTATCCGCATGTGTGTCTGTGTGTTCTGTGTGACTGTATGTGTATCTGTTTGTCTGCATATATATCTGTATGTGCATCTGCACATGTGTCTGTATGTCTCTCTGAGTATGTGTGTCTGTATTTGTTTGTCTGTATGTGTATCTGTATGCCTGTATGTGTATCTGATTTTCTGCACAAGTGTCTGTATATGTATCTGTCTGTATGTGTACCTGTGCATCTGCATCTGTGTCTGTGTATCTGTATCTGTGTCATTGTTTGTATCTGTAGAAGTGTCATTCTGTATATTAGAATATGTGTCATTGTGTGTGTGTGTCTGTGTATTAGCATGTGCGTCTGTGTATGTATCTGTATGTGTTATATTATACAAATAAAGTGAAGATGCATGGGGAGCCAGGACTATTTTCGCACCGGGGCCCTGTGGTTTCTAGTTACGCCTCTGCACACACCAACACAAAAAGTAAAGCCTCTAAGCTGATATCATGCCCCTATGGTCCCACTCTTAAGTTCTCATTCAGAAGTTAAATCATTTTCATTTCTGTTAATGTAGCCTTAGCCTCACACAGCGAGCATAAAAAAAAGTTTTCATTTTCAATCAGATCTAAGAACATAGTGTGTTTGCTTTAGAAGTTCTTATCTTCTGCACTGTTAATTGAACTTCAAATCACACACAGGAGGCTTCTGATAGACACAGGCAATTTGTTTAGTTGCAAATCAAATTTCATCTGACTTTGTCCAAGTTCGTCAAATTGAGAACGTCCAAATTTCTGAATTCTTTAGCAAAAAAACAAAACGAAAACAAACTAATTTGGAACAAATGTATGTGAGTACCCTTATATATTACCAGTTTTAAGGACACCAAATTAGGGAGCCATCTGCTATACAGCACCACCTTAGGGAATTATGGTTTTCCAAATTTAGGAAGAAAACTAAATTTTACCCAAATTTCATTTTGTTCCAAACTGATAATTTCCACATTTCAGGCAAACCGAAATCTAAAAATGTAGTAACCGAAACAAAACAAATTTTTCATCCATGCACATCCGCTGCCCCTGTATGTTCTTGTAGGCTATTAACACAGCAGGAGATACAAAATTCTAAATTAAACACGCTATGCAATAAAGGGAGTTTAAAACGTAGTACTCTGTTTACAGTAAGTGTTGTATATGTCTCAGGCAATAGGTGTGTTCCTAGGGCTGCATACACAGTGTTTTATCTCCAAAATTGCAGAGAACTGAGTAGTGAGAGTGCAGGAGCATAATCAATATACCTAAACCGCTTCATTAAGCTAAAGTTGTTTTAGCTTAGAATATACCTTATAAATATAATATGCACACCAAGAGCTTGTTTCCAGTGTTGTTGGTAGGTAACATTTAGACTCATTATTCTATAACTCACATATATTAATAACTCTACTTCAACACTATGGAAGATATCACAATCTCTACTTGAATCTCTACTTCTCTACTTATGATCCCCCAGCTAGGGATACATTGGTATGGTGGGGTTCAAAAAATATACAGACACATATTTCAATTTCAGCTTTTCTTAAATTCCTATTTTATTTGATCCAGCAGAGAGGACTAACCTCATTGTTCAATTCCTCTATCTATCTATCTATCTATCTATCTATATATCTATCTATCTATCTTTCTGTCTATCTGTCTGTCTGTCTTATAATATTACAGCCAGTTCTCTGTCATTCTGTCACTATGGGCTATTAACCTGTTATTTTCTATAAACTATGTATAGCTAGGCTGCTGCCTACTGCCATTTACCACATAGGTTGAATTGTACATTTAGATGTACCTAAAACTAGAGAAAAGGCTAACTCGTAACCCCCCCCCCAAAATGGTCCTATGCAGACAAAGATTAGGGAGTAACCCTTAATATTTGAATAACATGAAACTAAAGACTGGGATAAAACATCACATTTATTCTGAAATATTTTAGAATATGTATAGTGTAATCTATGAACTTTCCCCATAGAGAGGCATTTATTCAATGCATCTCTATGAGTAGATACCGATTGGACAGGGTGGTGTTTGGCTCCGCCCCTCACCCCACCTCCTTGGCTGAGATCATCAGAATTGATGATCTCAACCAATTAATTGGCTGAGATCATCAATCAAATGCTTTCCTATGGGAAAACATTGTGATTGGCTGAGATTGTCAATTTTAAAGATGTCTGCCAAGGAGGCTGATCGGGAGTGGGGTCAGCACCGGCGGACCCATGAGACGCTGGAAAAAAGGTATGTTTTAAACTGCATTTTTAACACTATTGGGATAGGAATACACGTTTATATTCCTGACTCTATAGTGTTCCTTTAACAACTGCTAACTCCCTATACATCCTGATCAGCTCTCTTTATTAATATACATTGTCATAAAATATTAATAAAATGGGATCCATTATTTCATCCTATGTGCTGCAGGGTGAAGGACAATAATAATTGGGCCTTGGAGATGACTAGTCTGCTTTGCCGATAAACCTGTAGAAAGATTCGGGCCTAGGAGACGCCCAGACTCCAAAGCCCATAACTGTCCCTGATCCCTCCAACCACTCCATGGCGGCAAGGTGTTTTCTCAAGTCCCTACTACTCTCAGACTGATAATAGTGAGGGGGCACCCTAATAATGATAAGATGATACAATAAAAATGTTACCGATAGATTGGAAGTAGGCAAGAAAGTAAGGCATGCAAGTAACATTACTAGTTAACTGCATTCCTTTGTATACACTACTTTCAGGATCATAAATTCCAGAGGGATTTACAACAGTAGGGTATGTTACCCTAACAACAGCTGCCCTGGTGGTCAGCATCAGACTTACCAGAGCTGACTTGGCAGGATTCCGGCATGTAATTTCTGTCTGGATGAGCTTCTATTTGTAACACCTCTGATATCGGATCAAAACCTAGATTGCAAAAATTTCCCTGTCACAGAAAATAGATATTGTTAATAGGCAAAATCTGATTGTCATTTTCACATTTAATTTTTCCCTCTTTTGGATCATCCACAGAAAAAGAAATGCGTAAAAGGATGACCCTGACAAACCTGAGTCTTTTTAAAATCTTACAGGGTTATTCACTAAAGGGAGCATTCAAAGTGAATTTAAAATGTAAGATAAAAGTAGTCACCTATGCTTCCAGTCTAGCAACTTTGGCCGTAAATTGAAAATTTACTTTGAATTCACTTCAAAGTCTCACTTTAGTGAGTCACCCTGTTATATTCATATCAGGGAGATCACTTGCTCTCCGTCTGGCAACAATATGGGCAGCCAGCCACCCGCCCGCCCGCCCGCCTCCACAATCCCCCAGCTTGCCGCCTGCCTCGGAGGTAACAGGCACATATATCCTAGGGGCCAAGAAAAAATTCCTAGGCCTCATGGCGACCTGGTGCCTGGGATTTGTCGAGCCTTGGTGTAATGCATGTAATTCTTATTGAAGTGGTCTGGGTGCAGTGTCCCAGGTCCCTTAACCCTGCAATTGTAAATATTGCAGTTTTTGATAAACTGCAATAATTACACTGAAGGGTTAACTCCACCTCTAGTGGCTGTCTACTCAATGAGTTGTAATATAAAGCTTAGGAAAAACTACAATCATGTGTGCATGTGCACTCTCGGCTCTACCACAAAGGCTTCTCAATGAGAAGACTCTGCTTGAAGTATTCTCCGGCACAGTTTTTTGTGGTAGAGCCGATACTCTGAAAAAGCTGCAGATAAGAGATCTGCTAATTCATATCATCAATTGGCACTGTGGTAGGCTGAAAGTGTTTTGCTGACACTCTCAGCCAATCACAGGCACTCACTGTTGCTCAGGCTAAGGCTTCCTCATTGGTCCAAGCTGACAGAGGGAATGATGAGCTGCTAGGGGACTCTTGTTTTGCATTGTAATATTAAAAATGGTTTAACTCTGAGTGGTAGGACAGGACCAGTGGATTCCTCACACTATAACCAACCTACTATAAGTAGGAGATATAGTATTGTCTTTTACCTCTTCTGCAGTTCCTTCACAGGGGGATACTGTCATCTTGCCTCCCATTTTTTCCTGCTGCACGCATCTGGAATCACTAATATTCGTAAGCTCTGAGTTTAGGGGATGCAGTGATGTCCAGCCTTGAATATGGCGTGTTATTGCCATTGAGGCACTGCAAGAACCCTGCAAGACATATAGGGGGTTAGGTACAAAAAGTGTAATTTTTATGCTTTTTTTTTTTTGTTCTGGCACTTTTCCTATTTGTAAAATTGTCATATAAAAAGGAGCAAAACATCAAAATGAGCGATAAAAAGTGGCAGAAGAATGTTAAGATGCCAGACATTAGCAAGGGTAGTTTGCTCACCTTGATTAATCCAGACTCAATAAACACACAAACCTGCGATCACAGAAATGCACAATAAAAATAGAATAGTAAAAAAACAATTTTACCTTACAATTCCATCAACAAACCTCAATCCTTAAAGGAATCTCCAAGTACCATAACTACTACAGACTGCTGTAATGATTGTGGTGCCAAGAGTGCCCTGGTGCCCTCCTAGTGTAAGTTTAAGAACAGTGTGACAGGTTACATTGGTCCCGTCCAGCACCTGTTGCTGCCTCCGCTGGTTAGTGGCAGAACTAAAGTAGAGAGGGTCCAAGTGCAAGAATTTTTTAAAGCTCTCCTTATCTCACGGATGGAAAAAAAGGTAGTACAGCTCCCACAATACTTTACCAGCTAGGGATCTACCATTTGTCCATCCTTGCAGGGTTGTTTTTAGCATTTAGCAGTGTTTGTGTGTTTGATTGTAAGAATGTTTTTGTATGAAGTATGTTTGTGTGAATGAAGGGATGTATTTGTGTGTAATGTTGTGTGTTTTATGTACTGTTGCCATTTGAAAGGAGGGTTTTAATTGTGTGTAGCCTTGAATGTAGAGGTGTGTCTATATATAGTGTTGATGTTTGAATGTAGGGGTGTGTTTGAGTGTAGTATTAGAGTATGAATGCTGAGATGAATGCACATATACATATACATTGCCGCACACACACGCTGATACACATACACACACATATAAATGCAAAGACACACATCTGGATACATAGACACAGATATAGACACACAGATACACACACAGACATACATACAGATACAAGCACTGACACATACAGATGCACAGGAACAGACATGCAAATACAAAGACACACATGCAGGTACACAAACACACATTCAGATACACTAATACACAGACGCACACACTGACACACATGCAGATACACAGACACACACATTGACACTCATACAGATACAAACACTGATACACATACACAGACACACACACATACACAGGGGCTCACAATGACACACAGATGCTCATACAGTTGAACAAAAATTTTTTTCAATTATCACAGAAGGGGTAGCCAACCCCAGGTCTGGTTGCACCAGGATTGTAATAAGTGTAGTATTCCTCTCTTTTTTTTTATTTATACCGATACTCATAGACACAAAGATAGACCATATACAGACACAGACACATACGGATACGCAGACACAGATGCAAAATGTACACGTTTTAAGCCATCCTCATGTTTCCTACCTTTTGGGTGCAGGAAGGTGGCTAACCTGGGGTGCAGTCTGCTGGCCAAGTCTGTTAGGAAGAACAAAAGAAAAGGGCAGGGCTGCGCCACAGGTAAACACTAATAGTACAACTTATTTGGCACAAAAGCAGAAATAGGTCTGGTGCAAAAGTCTCACAAAGAAAGTTTTTATAGCTTTCTAAGCAGTCAATGAGTTGCTGAATATTCTTCCTACAGGGAGATACCATGTTGCCCCCATTGGTTCTCAGAAGGCGAGGGTTGTGGGAGCTGGCCAATCAATGCTTAGTCCGCTCACTGCTACTGACAAATAGGATTCCTGGGATTTTCCAGCCCACTCACACTGGCTGTGACAGACAGCTTCAAGGGAGGTCACACCTCACCCTCCAGGATCTCCTGCCATGTCTGTGGGGAGCAGTTACAATGTGGAGTGGGAGACTCTTCCTTCTAACTCAGGGAAACTGTCATTGCAGCTATATAGAAACATAGATTGTGACGGCAGATAAGAACCATTCAGCCCATCTAGTCTGCCCAATATATCAAAATACTTTTAATTAGTTCCTGGCCTTATCTTATAGTTAGGATAGCCTTATACCTATCCAACACATGCTTATACTCCTTTACTGTGTTAACCTCTACCACTTCAGCTGGAAGGCTATTCCATGCATCCACTACCCTCTCAGTAAAGTAATATTTCCTGATATTATTTTTAAAACGTTGCCCCTCTAATTCATGACTATGTCCTATATATATGTATATATATATATAGGACTATATAAAGAAAATGGCTGGGGGTGTTAGAAGTGAACCCATGTTATTTTATCTTGTTTATGAATTTTTTTCTGTTTGGAAAGTGCAGCCCTCCTCCAGACATCTCTGGAGAATTTCCCATTCTGTAATTATTGCTGGCAGTTTGAGGGCAGTCTTACCTTCTTTTTCTCAGAAACACTTTAGAACTGCAGGAAAGTTATTTGGCCTATTTAATCTCAATTATTGAACTATTTAATCTCACTTATTGAACTATTTAATCTCATGTAACCCTTTGCACTCCGGGAGGTACAGCTACCAGCAGCCATATACATCACACACAAAACAATGAATATACAATACAATTAATTAATCATTTAATGGGTTTACTCATTAAATACCAAATTGTAATTGTAAACCAATTGCAGATATTGTTACTTTTTTTGCTAAGTTTGCCAAAATTTGGCATTTCGGTTTCAGTTTATTTGAATTTCTAAGTGTTTAGTAAATAAAGTATCTTCTCAGTCACTATGACGTTTTACGTAAGTTGTAATTTTTGTCCATTTTGCCAAATTTATGACACTCTTCCAAGTTGTTTTTAACTCCTGCCTCAGATATCTATTTACACGCTGAGCTATTTTTTCAAGTATATCCTTACTGGTGTGTTAATATGATTTAAAAAAAAGTATTTTTATTTTTTAAATCTCCGAACACAATCAACTAAATATTCCAAATTTTATACAGTCTTCCCTCGCTTTTAGTTTGGCCTATGAGAGACGCTGGGAATCACTTATTTTTGTTACAAAGCTCAGCGGCATTGGTTGCACACTACAATTGTCAGTCTTTAGAACAGAAATACAACTGCATGCAGACATAGAGCGTAGAATATATATATATATATATATAAAAAAAACTAGTACAGAGACTGAGAAACTGTCTGCTCTCACAACCATTATAATTTTCAAGTATTTCCTTACAAAGAAATAACTCATACAGGAATATTTTTTAGCTCAGCATGCAATCAACTAAATATTTAGAATTTAACCAGTCTTCTCTCATTTTCAGTTTGGCCTATGAAAGAGGCTGGGATTCCCTTATTTTTATTGTGAAGCTGAGCGACATTGAGTGCGTACTAGGAATGTCAATCTTCAGTACAGTAATACAGCTACATGCATACATACCAGGGTTATTCAGAGCAGTGGTAGGCAACCTTTGGCACCCCAGATGTTGTGGACTACATCCCCCATAATGCTCTTACACTCATAATGCTGGCAAGGCATCATGGGAGGTGTAGTCCAAAACATCAGGGGTGCCGAAGGTTGCCTTTGCCTGCACTAGAGTGATTATAGGGGGACTGCGTGACAACCTATTCAGTCCCCGTGCAGCAAATCCCACCCACCAGTGTCATGTGATCTCAATGACTGAGATCAGATGACGGGATCGGTCCATTGATGATCTAAGCCAATCCAAAGGCATTCCCATAGGAAAGCATTGGGAAGCTATTGCACTTGCGCAGCAAAATGCCACGCTGCGCCAGTCAGCATCTCCTCACACCGATGCATTCAATCAATTTAAATATACAGTGAGAATTAAATTATATATCTATATATAAATAATTTCATTCTCGGTGTATTTGGATATTAATATATAAAATTTCATTCTAAGTGTATTTTTATATTAATATATATAGCATATTCCTTTAATTCTACTTGTATATTTATGTATTATTTTTACATATTTTGTTATTTTGATTTTATTAATTACATATTGAGGGATCTGTCTGTCAACTTAGGCAGAAAGTCCAGAGAATTTAATTTGCAAGTTCTGTGTTTGATCCTGTAACTTTTGAAAATCCCATAAAACCTGTACATCGCTGAACACAAATATGAGTATTTTAGAGCAGTAAAAGTTATAATGACAATGATATAATCAATTAAAGGACATTTGTATGTGAAAAATTCAAAAAAACAAATAGGAACACTAACTTTGGCCTGAGTTTGTGACCAAGCAGCTGCTAAAAAAGACAGAACATGGCCCATATTGATTACCCTGGGTTGTCTACTTTTACAAATAGTATACCATGATTGGGGGTGATTTTCATTCCTGGACTGCCATACAGTTTTAAAAGCAACATAAGCCCAGCAAACCAATCTGGCAAATTTCAATGTGTGAAAACTGAAAAAAGGTCCTTTATGTGACCCTGTAACTTTCCTGTAGATGGGGTCATCGTTGTACTTGTGGGACATCACAGCATACAAATACGTGTTTTTTGCAGGACAAGCCAACAGTATTAAGACATTCCATTCACAGTTAATATACCAAACTTGGAAAATAAAAGTACCTAATTTTTCACAATTTTTTTAAAATGATATTAATATTAAATTGTGTTCCATTTATAAATATTTAATGTGAAATTAAATTCACTATTTATCCTGAGCAAAATGATATATAATAAGTGTGGGTGCACTTAATATAAAAGTGGTAATTATGGTTGAACAGACATATAGCTTACATTTTAGGTTATGTTTTCGTCAGAACTTTTACAATTGACTCTGTCCTTAAGGGGTTAAAATGGATAATGGTAGGAATGGTTTTCTCAAATTCACATTCAATAAAAAGCAGAATATACATGAAAAAAATATACATTCAAAAGTCAGAAATAAACTACACTCACAGTGACATGGATATACACAGAAAAATAATAAAACAAGTACAGAGACTGAGGAGTACTCAGTTCTCACAACCACCCTATTTCTTTGAGGGCTGCAGGGATGAGCAAACTGTTGCACACCCCTTTGAGCACTGAATGAGTTCTGTTCACAGACCAATATTCTATACAATGACAAACAAACAAAAAACTTACTGTTAGCAGGAGCTTTAAATTTCTAAGTGTTCCTGTGAATGTTCCGTGCCTTGTTCGGAATGCAAGAGAAAAAAGTGGGGCTGTTAGAAAATAAGCTAGCCTGCATAATCCTTGTCATGTGAGGACCAGCATCCCTCCCTTCCATAAGGAATCTACACTACGCAATATTATAGCACTGGACAGAAATACTGTATTTTTTTTTTTTTTACATTCATTAATTTGATAGTGCATGGCATAAGTGTGACATTTCTCAAGAGTATAGGCAACAATGCACAGGTGTAGAGATACTGGAAAATGTCAGAATACTGCACTTTTTATAATAAATAAGAAAGAAGATAAGAGGTGTCAGAAAAGAAGTTATAGAAAATATGTGATACTGCGAGCTGCACTAACATTGTGATTGACTATTGATACCACTGGGTTTAAAAAAAAAAGAAAAAAGAATAACATGAGGTGAAGAAAAACTCAAGGCACGGATTTTAAAGCGGCACTGTCCGGACCTATGTTCTTGGCGCTGCCATCTTTGTGTGGGTAGATGAAGTCCCTGTGGGACATGTCATCTGCCCACACTAGATAGCGCTGTGAAATTCCTGAACATGCTCAGTTAAACACTTGGGCATGCAAACGGGAATTTCATCTATTCATTCACTCGTTAGAAAGACAAATGAATGACTAGAAATGTCAGGCGAACAAACACTGAATATCAGTGTTCGTTTGTTCCTTTGTTCAGTTTATTACAAGAAGGGAGCTACCGGTGCGCCGCTTCCTCCTTGTAAAATGTAAAGATAGAAGTGGCAGGGAGCAGTGCTCCCCGCCACTTTCAAAGCCCCCCCATGTCCTCCCTCACTCTACAGGGGTCAATATGACCCCCATAATAGCATAAGGGAGAGTAAAATCTCCCGAATGCCTCTACTTGCTATACCGCAAGTAGGGGAATGTCTACTAAACAGTGAGCACAGTGCTCACTGTTAAAAACAAAACAAAAAAACCCTTGTACCCCTCTCCCCCTCCCCCCGGCCCCCACCCCTGTGCTGCTTGAAAAGACCTGACGCTAAAATATTAATCCATTTTCACCCGGTGAGGGCACGGCGCAGACTGAATTGCAATTAGGCTCAGAACACTCTGATTGGATGGCTTGAAATCCATCCAATCAGAGTGCTCTGTGTCATTTTACACAGGGTGGGAAAATTCCAAAGAACTTTCCCACGCTGTGTAAAATGACTCATAACACTCTGATTGGATGGCTTGGGTGGGGGCTGGGGGGGAAGACAATAGACCCCCCCTTATTGATATTTATGGCCCCCACCCACCGCTCAGGGTACTAGGGTTTTGTTTTGTTTTTTTAACAGTGAGCAGCCACACTTACCCCTACTCGTGATAATCTCCATTATGCTATTATGGGGGTCATATTGAGCCCCATAGAGTGAAGGAGGACGTAGGGGGCTTAGGAAGTGGCGGGGAGCACTGCTCCCTGCCGCTTCTATATTTACATCTTACAAGGAGGGACATGTGAGCCGGTAGCTCCCTCCTTGTAATAAACTAAACGAACGAACAAACAAACACTGATATTCAGTGTTTGTTTGTTCGTCTGACATTTCTATTCATTCATGAATAGAAGAAATTCCCGTTCGCATGCCCAAGTGTTTAACTGGGCATGTGCGGGAATCTCACAGCACTATCTAGTGTGGGCAGATGACGCGTCCCACAGGGACTTCACCTACCCACAAAAAAAATGGCGGCGCCCAGAACATAGGTCCGGGCACAAAATAAAGATAAAAAAATAGGTAATATTAGGGGCATTTGGGGGTGACTAGGGGGTCAGTTAGATGTAGTGGAGTCGGGAGGACATGGGGGGCTTAGGAAGTGTTGGGGATCACTGCTCCCTGCCGCTTCTATCTTTATATCTTACAAGGAGGGACCTGCGAGCCGATAGCTCCCTCCTTGTAATAAACTGAATGAACAAACAAACACTGTTTTCCTGGCACTATAGTGGTCCTTTAAACAAAATCTCTTCCAATGAAAATGGGATATGCTGGAGATGCCTGGAAGAAAAAGGTTCACTAGTACATATATGGTGGAAATGCAGTAAGATTCAAACTCAACGGTTTCAAATTTTTTATATTATATCTTTTTTAATAAATAAAAAATGGGAACTAGATCCAGCTTGAGCTTTATTTCATGTTGATACCTGTAGCCTCCCAATAGAATTGAGATTCATCCATCCATCTACTTATTATAGCTAGAAAAGGGAAAACAAAGGATGAAGTGGAATCTAAAGATCTAGTTGATCAAGTAGAATATCAATTTCTAATGGAAAAGGGATTTTCTCAGCACAATAGCCTAAATTTTGAAAAATTGAAAGAAAGATGGTTGGAGTGACATTAATAATTTCTACCAATGTACCCCACTTCTCATGCCTTTAGTAATCCTAAAAGTTAAATTCGTATGTTGTTTCTGCGACTTCGGACTTCTAAGTCTGCGATCTTACAATTTGCAGCTTTTAGTTGCATCGCCATAGACCGAATTCGTTCGATGAGATCTTCTTGTACATTCGCCTCTGCAGTTAATTCAGGCTCTATTTGGTCTGATCTAATGGATAAATTTGCAGTATTTTCATTCATTGTGGCGTGTTCTCACCTCAGATCCAACAACATTTCCTGACCCATTTCCAAACCAGAAACTCCCAGGGTGGTGGGTCCGAGAGTGTTGTGAGTGAGAGAGGTGGATGGCTGATGGAGGGATTTCAATGGATGTTACCTGAGGTGATACATCGTTTGCCCAGTGACAAAGAAATTATCAGTCTATAATTTTAATGGTAGGTGTATTTTAACCGTGAGACAGAATAACAAAAAAAAAAAATCCAGAAAAACGCATGTCAAAAAAGTTATAAATTAATTTGCATGTCATTGAGTGAAATAAGTATTTGATCCCCTATCAATCAGCAAGATTTTTGGCTCCAAGGTGTCTTTTCTCTTAAAGGGCTTCTAGTCTCAGCTTGTTACCTGTATAAGAGACACCTGTCCTAAAAAGAAAGTACATAAACAATGATGTTAATATACTGTAAGCAGGACCAGCCTTAGGAATTTAGGCACCCTGTTCGAAAAATCTTCACTGCGCCCCCTTTCCCCCCGTCATCCATGTATGATGTAATGTTTGTGTTGTCTGTGTACGTGATAGGTGTGATGACTGTGTGTGATATGTATGCTATTGTGTGATATTTGTAATGGGTGTATTAACAGTGTGTGAAATGCATATATTGGTTGTATGTGATATTTGTGCTGGGTTTATTGGCTGTGTGTGATGGTTATTTAACCCCTTAAGGACTGGACCTTTTTTGCGATGTTGTACATTTGCGACCAGGCATATTTTTACACTTTTGTGGTGTTTGTGTTTGGCTGTAATTTTCCGCTTTCTCATTTACTGTTCCCATACAAATTATATATTGTTTTTTTCAGGACAAAAGGGGCTTTCTTTACATACCATTATTTATATAAACTCATGTATTTTAATTTAAAAAAATAAAAAAATATGATGAAAAATTGAAAAAAATACATGTTTTTTGACTTTTACTTGAAAAATCTTTTACTCATCTACAAAAGCGAATGAAAAAAACTGCTAAATAGATTCAAAATTTTGTCCTGAGTTTAAAAATACCCAGTGTTTATGTGTTTTTTTGCTTTTTTTTGCATGTTATAGGGCTATAGGTACAACTAGGATATTGTGGTTTCAAAACATACATTTTTAAAATTTATCAATAGTGACATTGTAACACTATTATCTGTCATAAATCTCTAAATAACACCCTACATGTACATATTTTTTTTAAAGTAGACAACCCAGGGTATTCAATATGGGGTATGTCCAGTCTTTTTTAGTAGCCACTTAGTCGAAAACACTGGCCAAAGTAAGCATTCATATTTGTTTGTGTGTGAAAAAAGTAAAAAAACTAAATTGAACGCTAATTTTGGCCAGTGTTTGTGACCAAGTGGTTACTAAAAAAGACTGGACATACCCCATTTGCAATACCTTGGGTTGTCTTCTTTTGCAAATGGTATGCCATCATGGGGGTAATTCTCATTCCTGGGCTACCATACGCTCTCAAAAGCAACGTAACCATCCTGGCCATTTTCAATGTAAAAATATTTGACCCATATATTTGACCTTGTATGCTATAAAACCTGTACATGGGGGGTACTGTTTTACTCGGGAGACATCGCTGAACACAAATATTAGTGCTTAAAAACTGGAAAACGTATCACAACAATTATATCATCAGTAAAAGTTCTGTTTGTGTGTGAAAAATGCAAAAAAAGTCATTTTCACTGACAATATCATCGCTGTGATATGTTTTACTGTTTTAAATCACTAATATTTGTGTTCAGCGAAGTCTCCCGAGTAAAACAGTACCCCCCATGTACAGGTTTTAGGGTGTCGTAGAACGTTACAGGGTAAAATACAGTGCTAGCAAATTAAATTCTCTGGAATTTCGGCCTGGGTTGGCAGGCAGGTCCCTCAAATTGCAATCAATAAAATTACTGAATTATGTAAAAATATTACATAAATACGCACGTAGAATTTAAATATATATGCATATTTATATATTTGAAGTCTACGTGTATATTTATACAATTATTTATGTAATTTTGTATATGGACATATGTATATTTCGTATTATTTTTATTTATTTATATATACATAGATATATATACAAATTCATTCTAAGTGTATTTTGATATAAATATATATATATATATATTAATTTTAAAATACAGTTAGAATAAAATTTCATATAGATATATAATTTGTTAAATTTTTTTATTATTATTTAAAAAAAAATATTTAATTTTAATTACTTATTATTTATATTTTATAATAATATATATATACAATATATATAGTTATTATATATATTATATATATACGTGTGTACTTTAATTATAAGTGTATTTTTATATTAATATAAGTACATATTAATATAAAAATACACTTAGTATGACATTATATATATGATATATAGACATATATTATATAGATATAATATATGTCTATATATCATATTTAT